AATATATTAATAATGGCTTTTTTGAGAATAGTAATTTTCCACAATGACAATAGCAAAACACTTTTGCATGGATCTTATAGTATGTACTTCCAGAATAATAAATTTGTGCTTGCTAACAGTTACTTCTGTTTGCACATTAACCACTAAGAGCAGTTGTGAAACATCCCCACCTGCTGTTTGTGCTGCATGCTACAATATTGGTATTAATCAAATTAGTTTGTTTCCTCTTGACTCAGTGAGTCAAAAAAAGTTGGCACATTTTGTAAAGTATTTAGTCAAAAATGCAATAAAATCAAGTTGTGAATTGTCAATTCTTTTAAACCTTTAACCTAACACCTTAACTTACAAAAGTTCAAATAAAATATTTCTAACATTTACACAGACCAAACACATTTTATTTAGTTAATATGATAATATATATGGGCATTTCAATGCAAATGTCAACCTTGCCATAAAAACAAAGTAAAGTTTTCACAAAAATACGGAACCAGTTTCTAGGTTTTTTTGTGTAATCAGGTATTTTACAGTACTTTAGAAATACTCAAAATGTATCTGTCAGTGTTTTCAAACTATTACATTTGATTTACCAAAGTCACACAAGTGGCAACTTCACATCTGTCAAATCCATAAAGAAGAGATGTCACATCCTAAGCTTTTTCCTCATAAATGCAACAATGTCAAATAAAATAAAATCAATATATTTTGTTTTTGTTTAGAGAGCCGTCTCTCATCTTTTTGATTAGCATTATTTCTTTTGGGTTGTGGAGTTTAATTCACAGAATTTTCACAAAGTATGTTGTTTACTGCAAACGGAGACTTTTTTGGTCACATCCATAGTGTATGCTTATTTTCCTCATTTAAAGTACAAAACATGTTTACAGATTGATATTTTTCAATACCATAAGCAGATTTACCAATATAAACGTTCTCTGTAAATTTATGTTTTGAGTTTTTACTGCAAATGTCACATCCATAACGCTGGAATTGCTCATATATTTTAGTGACTGTAACAGACTCAAAAAATTGGTGATGAAAAAATGTTTAACACTGCCACATACATTTTCATTTGAATTAAAATGTTATATTTGGTAAAATTAGTACCCAATTTGACATGATACTTCCGCTACTCAACAGTTAGTGGTTGTCATTGTCTGATTCTTTTTTTCATGAGGGACCATATATTTTTAACAGAAGACACATTTAAGCTGCAGGCAGGAGAGTCATATTCAACCCATGCCTACAAAACAATTCTGTTGTAAAACCTGCAGAATGAGATTTGATACTCAACCAATATGCAGACTTCCCATGAAATACTTTATCTCAATGGAGGGTTATCCTCTATATGCAATATAAGTGTTCATATCAGTAGTACCATTGCAGATGCCCGTCACCTGTGCCAATTTGCTGTGCTGCAGCTTCACACTACGATAGATGTTTTCTCTTGCATCTGTTGCTCACGATAGTCAACTTCCAAAATGTGGACTCATTTGACACCAGCACACATTTACAGTGTTTAAATTTGGGGGTTTAGTCTTTTTGACTGTGAGCTAAATTCTGGTCCTGAAAACCAGTGTCAACATTGCATATGTATGGCCAGACTGAATCTGCAGACATTTTTTGCTATTTCTGTGCAGTCCAATAATAATAATAATAATAAAAAGTAACGTTTTAAAAAATTTTTTTATTAAGGTTTACAATGCAAATCTAATTAGAACCACTCTGGTAAACAACTAAAGTCTCATATAATATATCTACTAATTGCCATAACAAAACATTTTTGACTGTACCATACAAATGTTTACAAACTATTTAATAATATTACTCAAATTAATATAAAAACAGACTCGGTAGACTTTCAGTAGGCACAGATTCCGTGTGAGCCTACATATGCAGTATGACATAAAGATATATTGCTTTCTGCGCTAACTATTTAACAACAACAACAACAACAACAACAAAAGATTTGTTTGACAATTCTCACATGACTTTTGAATAAATAAATAGCCATGATCTAGATCAGGGGTGCCCAAACTTTTTCGTATGAAGGGCCAAAAACCAAATATCATTGAGAACTGTGGGCCGAAGGTAAATATACCAAACTGTACTACATTAAACTTGCCGTAGGTAATTTCCTAATATATTTTAGAATATTTCAGAATAAATGTAAAACATTACTTTAAATTGTATTAAGTAACACAGTATAACTTTTTAAAATTATAACTTTATAATTTGCAAATAATAAAGAAAAAAAAATTATAAATTGCAATACAAACGAAACAATCTGAATACACTAATCAAGCAGAATCTCTCTGTATTGTCAGGTGACAGTGTGTACATTTAAACAAAATCTGATTAATTTACACCGTTTAATTGAAACACTTAATTTCAGTTAGCTTTTAACAATAAAACAATCAAAGGGCTACATTAAATTTGAAAGGACAATCTTGAAACCATCCCCATCATACTCTCTCTTTCTTCTCAGTAAGGCTAGCCAAATCAAAGGTTACCATGGGTCAATTTTGGCCCGCGGGCCCTAGTTTGGGCATCTCTGTTCTAGATTTTGCATGAATAGGATTCTCGTTTTTTGCCCAAACATGAAAACCTCATGTATCAACAGTTCACCTGCTTATATCAGACCATTTATAAACTGTTCAATTTAGATATTCTATAACCTTATCAACTGCATTTGTTCTCTGTCCCAAATTATTCCGAGTGTGTTAGCCAACAAATTTCTAATTTGTAAAAAAAATTATTATTATTATTTTTTTCCTTTTTTTGTCAAAGGAAACACTGTAAATAGTACTTTTGTTATATAAACAAAAGTTAAAGAGAATTGACAAATGGCAGAATCTTGTTTTTATTGCATTTTATAAAATGTCCCAACTGATTCAGAATTAGGGTTGTATGAGCTACAAGTATATTTATTATCCGGGTGAAAAGTGATTATTTTACAGTATAAGCTCAACCATCAACTGTCAGACGGACTAAAGACTATATATATGTCTATAAATAGCAGAGCCTAGTGGAAGGATAATCAGCTGTTGTTGCAGTTGGATTGTTTCTTTTGTAGTGACTCTGCCCTGCCTTAGCGAGACGTTTGAACGGGTGTGTTCAAATGTTTATTGTCAAGAATGAATGGGAGAATATTTAGGCATGAGTTTAGTTTCAGAGAACATCTTAAATTGTAAAATATTGGCACGGTTGCAGGAAGTGCTTTCATGTTCAAATATTAGCTTAAGCTCTTGTGTCCATGTACCAGCATATCTTCTGGAGAGCCAGTAAATATTAAGTAGGATAATCAGTTATGTTAAGGCCTTTGTCTGTACTGAGAATGCAGTGAATATTTTTTAATATTCAGGTATATATATTTGTCCAATGATTACACTTGGTTTTGAATACATTTTAAAAAGGGTTTAAAAAGATTATATTTTTGGATGAATTCCAAACAACAATTTTACACCCTTGAAGGGCATACCATAGTTGCATTCCAAACACAAGCAAACACCCGAATACCTTCAAGAAGGATTTGTTAGTAAAGGGTTATGACATTGTCACTTCAAGGAAATTATTTTATGCTGCATTTAGTGCATGTCACAGTTAATGTAATTTCAGGATGAAAACACATAAGGTTCTTCCTAGAACTGTACAAATCAGTGGACTTGGAATTTGCTATGCAGCCCTGTAATGCTTTTTCTAGGTACACAGCAAAATTGATTGGTTCAAATCCTGGTGTTACTGTGTTTTAGAGTGAAGTGTTGTTTTATGGTGCAGAATTAACGTTGACGGTGTAAAGAGCATCCTGTGACTGGTGTAATTATTAAAAGCCTGACCTCATTAACACTGGTAGTGTGACATGTATACATCCTGGACATTTTATGTGGTGCACGCTTCAGTCAGCTAAAACTTTTTTCGCAGACGCCATCTTAACCAATGATGGCAGACGCCATCTTAGCCGAACCATGTTTTAACCAGGATTTTGGGAAATAATTATTAACTGGAGAAGTTCAAAAGGTAAGTGAAAAATATTTCACTCCTGAGCCAGTGTTCAATTGTTAACACTTTTGAAAATGTTATTTTAACTCAGCCAGTGTGGATTTTATATACATGGTAAAGTGTTAAAATGAACTCGCTCTCAGAGTTGAATTAACCCTGGCGATTTTGCTGTTCAACACCCAAAACATAATGGCAACATTTTTTTCAGAAGGTAAAACAGTCACATTGTAGCCTACTACATGTAGCTCTCAGAAATACAAATTTCATTAATTTTATGCACCATATTATACAACATTAAAAGAAATGTTTAGTTAATTAATAGTGCTATCTGCCCAGCCTCTATACTCTAAGAAAACATGGTACAATGTCACTGGGGAAGTATCTTTTTATGAGACAGCATTGTACCTTAAGACAAAGAAACAAATTTGTACCATTGCAGTTTGTACCTTTTTAAGCAAATGATTTGTACCATGCGAAACCAAAATGTACCTTTGGTTTTTGAAATATGCAGACTGCAAATACAATATTGTACCTTCATCAATGGTACAAATCTGATCCATAAAGGTACCACCACAGCAACAAGACACTTTGTACCTTAAGTGTCAAAAATGCTTACCAAACATATAAAATGCCTTAAATGTTCAGTTTTCAATACCCATAGTTGTATGTTTTACCAATTGTGTTGTTTTATAGAACTTAATATTGTTTATATGTTTCTTTAAACAAATGATGATTCATAATTTAATATGGAAATTATTCATAAAATCACTTTGCCTTTCCAGTCATGTTTATTTTTATAGATGTTGTTATAAAGGAGTTGTTCAACACTTTTTGTATCTTTTATATGACAATTGTGTAACTTTATTTCAGTTGTATTATAAAAGGCACCACAATCATAAGAGGACTTTTCTGGACCATATATAGTTTTGTACCTTTGGAAAAAAAATCTGTTTCTCAAGGAGTGTAGGGCTATTCATTTGTTTTAATATTTGCTTAAAATATTCATGTCTGAATTATGGTTCAGCCTTTATTCTAGTCATGTCAATATCTAACAAAGACACGTTATCAATGCTACTCTGTTATTAACGTGTATGATAAAATAGTAACAGCATACATTGCTAAAATAAATAATAGGCTAAATACAAATAAATAATATTTAAAGCCAGGTTTATTATGTAAGCTAAGCGAAGAACCTCATATTTTCTTAGACCTGTCTGTCAGCTTCAGAGAATGACGCAAGGCGTTATGAGCAAGTGTGAGCGCTGTTGTGTTGCAGGTCGCGGAGACGTTACTACGACATGAAAGTGTAATCAAAACAACCTAAAGTCAACAGGAAGACACTGTGACTTTCTCATGATGTCTAGAATTCAGCAAAACGTGTTTTAACAGCAAGGTATAGTATCTCATCGTTGTGTAGGGAAACAAGCTAGGATAAACGTTAGCTTTAGACAGGTTTAACCAGGTTAAAAATGATCACTATTGTCATGTAAATCATTAGCTGCTTGCTACCTGCCAAGTGCGTAAATCTGAGATGACTGTTGTCATGAACACAACACAACAACAAATGTCCAAAGCAATTTGGCCTAAATGCAAATCTTACAAACTGAACAAGAATCCAACTGTTTCAGAGTGCGCGTGAGACTTGCGGGAATGTTAATCTGTCCAGGTTTAAAAGTGTAACTCCGATCTGTGTGAACACATGCGTGAACATTCTCTCCTAAAGTAATAATGGCTTTGCTAAAATAAAAGAAGGAATTTCGTCGGCGACATCTGTGCCCTCGCAGCATCAACATCCCGCCTAATTACTGATGCCCTCATTCTTTTCTGTCGGCTTAACTGGGACAAAGACTTTCTCCAAGTTTGGCCTGCCCCTTTAACAGCAGTGCAGCCCTAGTGGTGATTATCGGACTGTCCGATTCCCTGGAAACTCTGCTGCGGCGCAGCTCTCACTTTAAACCGGGATCATGGCGGCTCCGCTCGGGCGGGACACACTACCTGATCACTGGTCCTACGGAGTGTGCAGGGATGGCAGGGTGTTTTTCATCAAGTAAGCAGTCTGTGAACGCTATAATCACGGTGGTGGTATTTTAACGTGGTTCGGGTAAATCTGCATCTTTTCCGAAGGATCTAGTAACAGGTGTTTCTGTTTTCCAGCGACAAAACTCGCGACACTACTTGGCTCCATCCCCGCACTGGCGAGCCTGTCAACTCAGGACACATGATACGATCAGGTAGGGTAGTAATAAACTATTCTGGCTAGTCTAAACTTTGCATGCCCGGTCTGATACTGCAGTAAACTGTGTTTAAGGTGACCAGTGGAAACACGTCCTCTGCATAATTGATGATGGGCTACTTTCTGTTTCCTTGAAAACTTAATGGAGTTTTGTGTAAATATTTCTCTCCCCCAGATTTACCGCGGGGATGGGAAGAGGGCTTCACCGAGGAAGGCGCCAGCTACTTCATAAAGTAAGCTATGGTACATTTGTATTTTTGTCCTTGTGAGACTGTGAGGATGCCAGTGCAACTGCAAAGCCCTCCCCACCAAGCGCTCACTCACTCCCGCCTCTTGCACCGAGCAGTGTCCGCTGTCTGCTCGCACCCTCATGACACAAGGAAAGACATAAGTGAATCAGATCACAGCTTTGATTGAATCTTTACTGCAGATTTGATCTTGGGCGGAGATTGTGTGAAGGAGTGACAACAGACAGCCGATTTCCATCAATCAGGACTGTTCATTGGTTTTTCGAGTTTTCTGTTTGGTAGATTATTTAGTGCTGCATCTGGTTTACGTCTGTACTGTCTGTCTGTGTGTGTAATTGGTGGTGAGCTACAACAATATGAATTTTACATTAACATTTGCTTCAAAACCAAAATACATCAAATGCACAAATACATTATCACTTTCTAAAAAAAGAACATGTAAAGCAAGGGTATACTTATAAGAAAAGAGAGGAATTTGCAACCTTTCATGCTCCTTTTGTTTGGCATCCTCTTGCAAGTTGACATTTTGAGTAAAAGGTGACATCACTGATTATGTATTTCCTCCAAAGAGTAGTAATATGTATAATAGGTGCTAATTTGTACCTTTAAAGTCTAAGCATACACCCTTAAGGGTAATTTGGGTATAAGAGTGTACCTTTTGTAGTCTGATACCTTTTTCTAATCTTGAAAATATTACTTAATACCAGTGGAATGGTATAATTAATGTTCTACTAACTTCTCTCTGTTGTCTATCATTTTATTCTCCTGTTTGTAGTTCTATATATGTGTTCATTCATCTACTAATCAGTCTATCTAGCCATTCATCAGTGCCTGTCTCCACTACGCTCAGCATGTGCAGACTCATGGGCAGATAGTGAGCAGCAGCAGCAGGGAGATGAAGTGGACTGAGGCAGGGAGAGAAGTACAGTAAGGGAGCTGGCAGGAGAAATTAGCTGCTAGGACACTAATCATTTTCTGTGACAGTGGCAGTCGGAACTTAGAGAGGATACAATCCCATAAAACTGCTGTAAAAATGTGAGAGTATTGGAGTGCTGCAGGGGATGTGGTCAGTGCTGCTCTTTAAAACATTGTGTGTGTTGCTTGAATATTATTGGAGGCATAGCTTGGACTGGCCTTAAATCTTTTATGTAGAATTAGACATTGTATGGGGTGTCACGGTGGTGCAGTGGTTAGCAAAATCACCTTACTGCAAGAAAGTCGCTGGTTTGAGCCCCGGCTGGGCCAGTTGGCATTTCTGTGTGGAGTTGGCATGTTTTCCCTGTGTTCGTGTGGGTTTCCTCCTGGTGCTCAGGTTTCCCCCACAGTCAAAAGACATGCACTAAAGGTAAATTGAATAGGCTAAATTGGCCATGGTGTATGAGTGTAAAATAGTGTGTATGGTTGTTTCCCAGTGTTTGGTTGCAGCTGGAAGGGCATCCGCTGCGTAAAAAGTATGTTGTATAAGTTGTCAGTTCATTCCGCTGTGGTGACCTCTGATTAATAAAGGGACTAAGCCGAAAAGAAAATGAATGAATGAATGACGTATAGAAATTTTGACATCTGTCTAATCAGTCTTTTCAATCCTAATCAGTTTTTAAAATTGGTAGCTTGTCTACAATAAAAATGAAATCAAATATATTTGAGATCCTCTTTGCAATAAGATTTCATTAGCATTTTCCTTGGTTAATGTTTCCCAAGGTAATGATGTGCAATTTTAACAAATACTTTTATATTAAAGCGCCAACTTATGCTCTGACATATGATTTTTCTTTAAACTAATACAAATTTATTCTAAACAGAAGTGCATTCATGTTGAAATGCAATATTTACAAAAGTATTACAATTTATAATGAAATTTTATTTGGAATTTTTAATTTAAAAATTTATTTATAATTGTAATTTTGTTCTACAGTTTGTAAATATTGGGTTCTTAAGGCTGTCATGATATCTATTTTTTACTGGGTGATATATTGCATCCAAATTACTTATTAAACTTACTTCACAAATAATAAATATGACAATTTTGACATAAGAATAGTGTGATAATTCAGGTACACTGTTTCAAAGAACATTTTATTTTTAAGAGTATTTAGACATTTGAAATTTGAAGCTAAAAAAATAGATGTAAACATAAAAGTGTCAGTCAAAAGTAAACTTTAAAGCATCTCAGACCAGACATCTTGTTTTAATAATCAGGCAGATTCCAAGACAGGACTGTTTGTATAAGGTACCTTTCTGTGAGTGTGTGCCATTTTGCGTTGTTACGTTTATATTTGCACTGGCCGGTAAATACATCCATTACAGTTAACTCTCTTGAAAACCCCTCTCTAATACCAACTGCGGTTGTTGTTCCCATGTTTGGTTGGGTGGTTATGTTTTAGGTGTGATTTAAGGTTAGTTGTGTTGCCATTTTTCATTGCCACTGTTCTGAAACAAATTCAACATTTTGGATCTTTCACATTACCTTGCCTTCTTCACCTCCACTATTCGCTCTTTCTCGTGTGTGTGTGTGCGCGCAGCATATGTGGAGATGCTGCATAAGCTCGCCTTCCGCAGAATGCAGTGTTTGACAAAAAAACATAGCTTGTTATATTATGTAGCCCTATCATTATCATTAGCAGCATCATCTTAAATTTCTTTATAAAAAATATAAAAATATAATATATAAAATAAAATATAATATATTTCATCTCCAAAATTAACCCTCATTTTCATAAATCACTGGATAAGTCAGTATATTATTGACTATCGTGAAAGGCCTATGGGTTCCACACAATTCCTTCATGTTAGAGAAAACAAACTGATTAAGTTAAACTAATTGTTTTAACAAATGTAAGTGGATTGAACATAAAACAGTTAAGTTGTCCCCAAAAATCCTCAAGAACGTTATTGTTTCAGCTGATTTTAAATATATAGTATGAACAAGCAGCAAAATAATTTTTTTAATGTGTTATTTGGTTGATTTTCAAAATAACAGTATCAAATTTGCTTGTAGCTTTTATCAGCACAGCTGTTTTATTAGAGTTCAACCTGCCTGCTTTTCCTGGATGACATTAGATTACACTGGATAATGGCAAGATCTGATTCTGTTTGATCTAAACTATGTGATGACAAAGAGTGCTTAACTGTGACAGCAGAATCTTTCACCATTATCTTTAAGGCAGTGCTAGTTGATTATAGAGCCCTCACAACTGTTTACCGTCACCCATGTAGCCCATTACCTCTCTCTGTGCCCATTTAATGAAGGAAATAAAGGGCATTGCCCAGCAGGACTGGATAGATTTTCCCATTAAAATTCTCCTCATGTACAGCACTGTGCAGAACCTTAACCTTCCCCGTTTAGCGGATGTTGTACCCTGTCTGTATGTGTGTTTGCGCGTGTGCCCGTATGCCCATGTGATGACAGAGATGTATGGCGCGATCACACAGCCAATTCATGGTGGCTTGGCTCTCCAAAGTCACTTTACCCATTCGGCTCAACTAATGTAGAAACCGCAACCAGATCGCCTTCATCAGACCCACGGTGTCTAGTCATTCACCATCCTTGACTGTACTGTATGACCTTTTTAAAAAATGATTATTAGTTGGCTTTAACCCATTGCCTAATTGAATTGAGAAATCAACCCGACAGCTGCCTGTAAACAACTGTTATTTATGCAGCACAATGTGATATCAAACCATTTGGGACAGCAGGAGCAAATAAGAGGCAATGTGAAGCTATTAGATAAGACTTTTTTTTTTCCTCATGGACTCATGTCTGAGTTGAGTACAGTTTGCTTCAACACAATTGGCATGCAGTGATTTTGCTGCAGGATTGCGTTGAAAGGAATGTTTACTTGTGGCTTATTTTGAATATTAGCTTTGGAGAGTTCTTGAATTCATTCACTAGAGTAAATATAAAGTGAACAACCTGACAATGACGGACTGAGCTGTTAAGGATTGTCCCACTGTGGCTTTTACAAAGCCAGTTTCTTTATAACAAAATCATGTTTGTGATGCTTGTTCCTTGTAAAAATATATTTTGATAAAAGGGCTGGGCCGATAAATGATATATTGAATTGCAATAAAACTTATGTCAATAACAATAATAAGCTCTGGACTTTTTTTTTACTCTATACTGATCTAAGAGTCAGTCATAGCTGAAATGTGCAACAATGGGAATCTAGAAGTGTGTTGATAGGCATGGGCCGGTTAAAGATTCTGACAGTATGATAACCTTGGATAAAAATTTCTCGGTATCACGGTATTGTGATCACTGCTCTAAAAAATATTCTTTTTAAATGTCTGGGTTAAAACAACATTTTCCCCCCTTTGAAAACAATAGATTTTTATTTTTATTTACTTTTAAAATATTTTGGAGCAGTAAACATGTCAGGCTAAATAATTCAAATGAGTCATTGACTTCTGCTGTCTTCCCTTTAAAACGGCATCTTTGGATATTTTGTTTTTTGCTGGAGATACTGTTGACCTAAAAACTAAAAAACCTTACACATACCTTAATAACGATATTACAGAAAAAAATTGGTGGTTTTAAAACCTTGGCTTTTCTTTCCCACGGCCTACCTTGAAACGGTTATCGTCCCATGCCTAGTTGGTATTAGAGATCCACCGAACTTTTTGGCCACCAAACATTATTGGCCACTGAAAATAGGTTATGTTATTTAGTGGACTCTCTCATTTGTGGCTTAAGTCATTATTTGGGTACTCTTTTAAATCTTATGGCATTAACAACTGATATTGTAATTGTAATTGCAATTGTGATTATATAACTGTATATGTACAGTTGAAGTCAGAATTATTAGCCCCCCTTTGAATTTTGTTTCCTTTTTTATTTCCCAAATGATGTTTAACAGAGCAAGGAAATTTTTACAGTGTCTGATAATATTTTTTCTTCTGGACAAAGTCTTATTTGTTTTATTTTGGCTAGAATAAAAGCAGTTTATAATTTTTTTCAACACCATTTAAAGGTCAAAACTATTAGCCCT